TTATCTTCAAAGCCCATAGTTTATCTTCAAATAATTCTAGGGTTTTAGGTGATACCCTTCTGCTTGATTCATTTATTCAGTTTTCAAATACATGCAGAAAGATTATTTGCCAGCTCTGTTCTGGGCCTGGGGAAAGGGCTATAGTGGAGATAAAGAAGAACAAGTTGCTATCCTCTGGTAGTTTGCATTCTCAAGAAATGGGTGCAGCACATGTAAATGAACAGGAGCTTTCTGATGGTGACAGGATGGAAAGGTACTTGATAGGACTAATAAAGGAGCTGAGACAGATCTAGAGGCCATGAACTTTCTTCTCTAGTAGTCCTCACGCTCATAGGACTGTGCTCAACTGTGATCAGCTGTGAGGGAGAAAAACTTAACGGCTTTGGCTTCTGGATATGTACTTTACATTTAGAATGTTTGCAGTGTAAACTAAAACTATTGGTGGCATGTGGTATGCATTGTATTTTCTGGGTTCTTTCCCTACCATTCCGTCATGGGCGACCCCTCACACAGGTGAAGAGGATCCAAGCTCCTTAGCTCATTTGGATTAGGAAGATCCTCTCTTTTCTCGATGTGGTCCTCAACAGAGATGAGGAGGACAAGGACACGTGCTTGTACATAGCTTCCATTCCTGCAGTATAAAATTAGGGTGATGAGTCATGGAACTAGATGGCCAACCCTTTTGCTGCCATGCCCACAACCTCCTTTTGAAAGTACTCTTAGCATTGGTAACTGAAACAGATAAAGATGTCTAACCACAAGACAGTCATCTGTTCTGCCCACTGGCTTATGAGGGGTCCAAGCTTTGGAATCCTGTATAGGGCCATTACCTAGAGACTGGCCAAACAAATTAGATCTTTTCTTGTTAGCAGTTTGAACTTTGCTCCTAGATCAAGGAAAGACTTCTATACTTGTAACTTCTGGTCTCTTGTAACAGGACACGTGTTCTTCTAATAATGGCTTTACATTATGTGAAGCAGAAATGCACAGTGGAGGAGAAACAAGACCATCATTTTGCACATATTAACACCTCCCAGTAGTTGATAGAATAGTAAGAACTCTGTAAAGTTATGGAAGATATGAATAATATCGACCAGCTTGTCCTAATTAACACTTAGAAGGTGTGACTGAAATGTTTGGTAAATGTTTAAGTTTAAAACAATTGTTACAGTAAAACATACATCACCGTTAATCCCACTCAAAATACTTCCTCTCTCCTTTTTTTTTTTCTAGTACCAGGACCTCACCACTTGCCATGGAGGTGTGGTGCCACTGAGCTACATCCCTGGCTCCTCTCACTTCTACCATTTTATCACTCTTCCCACTTTTGAAACAGTTCTTTCATGAGTGTCTCTGTTAAGTGTAATCAGCAATATAGTGAATGCTTGGTGCCACGCACCATCCAACGGAAAGGCAGGCTTGTATAAACATGACATTGTGTCCTCATTCACCTTATTCACCAGATCTGTTACTGTGTGACTTCTGGCTCTTCCCCAAAGTCAGAATGACTATGAAAGGGAATCAGTTTTGGACACTGTAGCAGCCAGCACTGCACAGCTAAAGACACTCATGAAAGAGGACTTCCAGAACTGCTTCAGAAAATGGCAAGACCAGTTGGATAAGGGTTTTTCAATTGAAGAGAAAGACTTTGAGGGGGGTTAATGGCATTGTCTTTTATTATAATTTAAACTGTAAGTTTGTTCATACCTCGTATAGAATACTACTCAGCAACTATAGAGTGCCTGTTCTTTTTCAGTGTACATGAAATGTTCACCTAGATAAATCATATGAGTCATAAATCTCATATTTCAAATGTAGAAGTGTTGCAAAGCACCATGTCCTCTGAAAGTAATATAATTGGATTAGAAATTGATAAGATACCTAGAAAATCTACATAAATTTGGGGGTTAAACAGTCTCCTTTATTATGCATGTATTGAACATGAAATAACAATATTACAAAGCTTACTAAGTGAATGATAAAACCATTAAAATTATTGAAAGGCGTTTAAAATAGCTTTGGGAGAAACTTTATTTTAAAGGGTTACTATACAAATGAAAGATTTAAAATCTAAACCAGGGGTTGACAATTTTTTTTCTATAAATGGCCAGATAGCAGATACTCTGGGCTTGGCAGCTCGTATAATCTGTGACCAAGTTGTCCCCATTTAAAATGTAAACAAACAAGCAAAACAGTTTGTTAGGTGGAAGCAGTACAGAAACAACGTGGGCCTGCCTTGGCTACAGGCTGGTTTGTTGAACTCACACATGCTTCCAAGTTAAAATTCTAGAAAGAACAAACTAGACCTAAAATAAGCAGAAAGAAACAGAAAAGTATATCAGTCAATTAAGTAGAAAATGGGCTGTTGAGAAAATCAGTGAGGACAAAAACAGTTCTTTGAAAAGGTCAATAAAATCGATAAATCTCCAGTCAGACCAATAAAAAAGAAAAAGAGAAGACAAATTACCAGGATGAGGAATGAGAAGGTATTTCTAAAGATTTTAAGGACTTTATTATATATAACTTTATGCTATTAAGTTTGACAACTCAGAGGAAAGACACAAACTATCATAGATCATTAAATTCTCCCATCAGCCAGGCATAATGGCATGCTCCTGTAGTCCCAGCTTCTTGGGAGGCTGAGGCAAGAGAATCCATGAGTTCAAAGGCCAGCCTGGGCAGCATAGCAAGATTCTGCCTCAAGACAAAAACTAAAAGGTTCCTATAACAAAGCTTTATGTCTAGATGGCATGACTGGTGAACTTTAGCAAACATTTTGAAAGATGTAGAAACAGTCCCTTTCTTGAAAATTGAAGAGCTAACAACACACCCTAATTTGTTTTATTAGACTAGCATTATTCTCAGGCAGATACTAAAGGAAAATTGCTGGTCAGTTTCCCCCATGAACATACGGCATTAACAGTGGACTATTATTTAGCAGTACAAAGGAACAGGACCAATAAGTACAACAGTAAATCTCAAAAGAGCATGCTAAGAGAAAAAAAGTCCATACTGTATGTATTCCTTACGTTACAAGTAACAATGTAGTCCCCAACTTTACAGTAGTTCCACTCACATTTTTTGACTGTGAAAATGACCAGTCAGTGGAAAGGATTCTTGGAGTTTTGAATGTTGCTTTTTTCTCAGGCCAGTGGTCATGTGGTCTGCTGGGCTGTGGAGCCCACAGGACACACAGCTAGGACCCCATGGTGTGCATTGTTGCTGAGCTGTGAGGTTTGGTGGCCTAGGTGTGTTAAACGTGCTTTCAGCTTATGATACCTTTTCAACTTACAGTGGATCAATTGAGCTAGCTAGGACCCCATGGTGTGCATTGTTGCTGAGCTGTGAGGTTTGGTGGCCTAGGTGTGTTAAATGCTTTCAGCTTATGATACCTTTTCAACTTACAGTGGATCAATTGAGTTTGTAAGCTCAATTTGAAGTTCCTCATAAGCTGAGAAACATCTGTAAGTTTGTATGCTAGTCTGAGCACAGAGCAAAGCTAGTCTACAGTGACATGTCTGGATTTTGTAGGGGGGATTGCAGGATAAGGAGTGGATGGACTGCAGAGGAGCAGACTTGTTTTTCTCCATTTAGAACACCGGTGAATATGTAAGAGGACATAATGTGATTACATTTATTAATCCTGGCATCATGAAACTTGAGCTTCAGTCCTGTATCTACCATCTACTACTCCGTGACTGTGGGCAAATTATTGAACCTGTTTCCTTGTGTGTGAAGTATATATAACTTATGACCGTGAACTATATAACTTATGTCACAGTTGTTATAATGATAAATCAGATAATGCCATCATGATGCCAATGTAGTAAGTGCACAGTATTGGTGGTTTATTTTGACAGCAGTAGTTGTATACTAGTAAGTATAATATGCTATTTGTATGTGTTAGTCTTCCCCCTCCACCCCACACTCTAGTCAAGCTCTCTTATCACTGAGTTACATCAGCAGCCTTTGTTTTTGTTTTTGTTTTTGTTTTGAGAAAAGGTCTTGCTAAGTTGCCCAGGCAGACGCCAAACTTTTGAGTCACTGGGATTATAACCATGCAGCACCATGCCCACCATTTGTGTTACTCATTATCTTGGAATGAGTATTGAATTTTTACATTAAATAAAGAAAAGAATTGCTGATTTGGTTCTTAAGGACCTTTGATATTTTGTGAGCAAATAATTTACTGCTGTTTAGTCTATCACAAATGTTATGTCCTATTTTTAACCCATAATGATAATGAAACTTACTCCTTTGTGGAAAGTTCTGCCTGAACATTGGCTTAAATGCATCACTGCTCTGATTGTAATCCATTTAATTATTACTATCGTTTCCCTTTATGGGCTTTGGTTGGACCCTTCTTAAAGTTAACATTTTAAATGGCCAAGAAGGATTTAAGAATCTTCTTTCCAAGTACAAATTGCCTTGGTATGAAGCGAATTGATCAGACTTGGGCCACATAAACTGATCTATAGTTGCCAAGATGATTACCTAGAAACTTTAATTTGAACATTTAATGAATTTTAAAAATAATAATAAAGTACCATAGAGAGCACTACAGTGGCCTAGCTTATTGGAGATTTGAAGATTTTTTTCCTCTATGTTAATAGTTGAATTCTTAATTCTTTGTGTGAATTAGTTTTCAAGTCTGTTAATGAAGGAAAAAGGAAACTGGAAAGAAATGAGATGATCAGGCATATCAAAGATAAAAATTTTTATGAGAGACATTAGAACGGTGTTTGATGTGATTATATGACTTACAGTTGTTTGTGGGGTTGCTGTGGATTGACAGGGATGAGTAAGAATGTTTGCTTCTAGTTTTGCATCTCATTTCAGATTCTTGAAGGCTGTTTGTTAAAATCATTTTACTCAAACTTTAGGCATGTCCTCCATCCATTTTTAAAATGGTTATCTTGTCATATTTTTAAAGAAAAAATATATATAGTCTCAAGTCTGTTTGGAAATGTGTAGTAACTTACTCCTCTTCACCTTTGCAGCACCTGATCACCTTCCTGCAGGAACACGGCCATGGAGGTGGTGCCAGCCGAGGTGAATAGCTTGCTTCCAGAGGAGATAATGGACACTGGGATAACATTAGTGGATGAGGATAGTATTGAGGCTGTTATTGTTTCATCCCCAATTCCCATGGAGACAGAACTGGAAGAAATTGTCAACATAAACTCTACTGGTGACTCTGCAGCCACGCCCATTTCCATGGAGCCCATCACAGTGTACAGTAACCACACTAACCAAGTTGCAGTGAACACCACAGTTCCTAAAGCAGATTCTAATACAGTGAAACCAACTTTTCCAAGTGGCCTTCAAAAACTTGGTGCTCAGACTCCTGTGACTATATCAGCCAATCAGATCATTTTAAACAAAGTATCACAGACATCTGATCTTAAACTTGGCAATCAGACCCTTAAGCCAGATGGACAGAAGTTAATTTTAACAACTTTGGGCAAGTCTGGTTCACCAATTGTTTTAGCACTACCCCATAGCCAACTACCCCAGGCTCAGAAAGTTACAACTCAGGCTCAGTCAGGAGATGCTAAATTGCCACCGCAGCAGATTAAAGTAGTTACCATTGGAGGGAGGCCAGAGCCGAAACCGGTCATTGGTGTCTCAGCACTGACCCCAGGAAGCCAGCTGATTAATCCTACAACCCAGCCCTCTGTGGTTCAGACCCAACAGTTAAAAACAGTACAGGTAAAAAAACAAGAGTGAAAACAAAAAAGGGAGCTCATTAATTAAAATGCATGTTTAAAACCATTAAACTGATTCATAGTTGTGTTTGTGTAGGGTTATTAACTGCATAGCCATTACTGAATTCCTTTGAATGTTGCTTTAAGGAATCGTGGGGTTTTCTGTTTTTAAGTGGTACATCTAATGTTTATGAAGATTTTTGCCAAAAAACTTAGAACAAACTAATTTTTGGTTAAATTCCAAATCAGTGTACTATAGCCTTTTGTTTTAAAATGTCTTTTGTTCTTGCTAGTAGTTTGGTTACAAGGATATTTCACTCGTAGGCAGACTTGCGGGCCTATCAAAAAGCCACACCAACAAAATTGTTTTGGTAACAGAGGGGAACTTTGCTGCTCTGAGAGGCCACTTCCTAAAAGCAGCAGTAGTGTGTACTGGGCAGCGTGTCTCTGTCTGTGGTCATCACTCAATGTGCGTGGTGTGAGGACAGTGACACGTTCGGGGAGGATAAGGTACTAGCTTCAGAGGTAGGTCAGTCAGGCTCCAGTCACTTCTTTACTACCCATTAGTTGTGGAACCTTGGGCAGGTTTTCTCTTCGTTGTGAAGTGGCTACATGATCTTAGAAATACATTGGGCTTTATAGTTCATGAAACAATAAGAATCCTTCAAAATGTTTCGTAGTATTAGCATGAATAAGGCCCTAAGATAGAAGGTTACCAGAACATATATTAAATGGGTTCTAGCCCTCTGCCTTTTTTTTAAATAGTATCTCACTATGTAGTTGTCTTGAACTCGAGGTGATACTCCTGCCTCAGCTTCCTGAGTGTAGGGATTAAAGGCATGTACTACCATGCCCAACTCCAATTTTTCATGGAGAAATAGTTTTCTTAGGCCATCACTAGTCTTAGTGATCCACTTAGGACCAGAAAAGAAATGTGTTCCCTGTTTGAAAGAGATGCCTTTCAGAGGAAAGGAGAAAACACGAATTAAAGTAGTAAAGGGAGTGTATAAGGGAGGTTTGGTGAGAGCCAGCTACTCTTGGCTGATATTTACAAGCAGTGTTTTGTTAACTGTGTTGACAAAGAATTAGATACTTACTTTTCATTGGCTTCGCATTTAAGAACTGCAAGGATTTCTGAAACCTTGTGATTTGCTCATGTCCCTCTGCCACTGTTAAACATTGTTCTCTTCTTGTTCCTTGTTATTTCTCACTTTTCTGACTTCCTTCTACTTGTTTTTACTGAGGCTCCCTTGAACGAGAACCCCTGTCACCATGAAGTATCTTACCTTCAGTTTGGAAGTTTCTTTTTATTGGTTTACAGAATGGCAGTAGCAAGGTGGATGGATATTCATCATATTCACAGGAAGCTGATAAATCAGAATGTCAGGATAAACAGCTTACCAACATACTGCATTTTAACTGATGGTGACAAAAACATATTTACTATAAAGTTGCATCCCATTTAAAAAAATCAGAATGTCATTGTTTCTCACTTCTGAGAATGGTGTAAACATATTGTTTCAATAAGGGGGTACTTGTATCCTCTAGTTTTCTGCTGTGATTCCCTAAGTACTGACAATAAAAACAAAGACTGAAGTCTAATTCTTAGAACTTGTTTTACTGTTGTTACTTTTATAAAACTGGATTTTGTTTATTAGAAAATAATTACTATTTATAAAAATAATAACAAAACAAAATCTATTTAGAATATTATTTTATTTGTCCAGTTATTTTTAGGCAACTCAAATTCTTTTATAAGTAACACAGGAAGCTCTGAAGCACTGTGAAAAAACTGCAAATATCTTTTTTCTAATTTAGACACTGGAAAATTTGGTTTATTCCACAATTTATATGATTTTTCTGGTATTTTTCCTAGATAGTCTTCATTGTTGTCTTAAGTTTAATCAGAGTATTGAGACTTAAGGGTGGAAGAAGGCCTAGCTTCAAAAAAAAAAAAAACGAAAGAATGAGGTATACTTACACTTAATCACAGGTATAGACACACCGCATTGATGTGCATTATGTGTGAGAAAAGTAAGTAGCAGTCTGGGACAGCATCTTTATTGACTCCTAAGTCTGTCTACCGTAGTGATAAAAATTACTTGTGTGGATTAATGGTATATTTGTCTACCATATATGTAAATTTTCTTTTAAAAATTTTACCTTATTGATTTGATGAATGTGTAAAAAATTATCCTTTATGCTTTGTTTTACTTAATAGAGTTTTTTTGTAGGGTAATTGAGACTTCACAATGCAAGAAATTAAGGTTCCTTAAGGAAACTGGAATTTGATATTTTTAGCAGTACTCTACTAAAAGAAATATAGCCACAGGGGTAAAATTAGATTGTTTATTGAAATAATTAATATGCTTTTGGTTATATTCTTTATAGTTTTTCCTTATTAGTAAATAATCATATGGTCATATGATTGTGAAAATCTTTATATTTTAAATCTTAATTTTTATATCTAAGGTTTTTTTCTAGATATATGTTTCAAGGAATGCCATTATCTCTACCTCTCAGAATCATTAATAGTATGTACAGGGCCGGGGATTTAGCTCAGTGGTGCTGCCACCTGCCTTGCAAGCACGAGGTTGAGTTCAATCCCCGGTTCCAAAAAAAAATGTGCATAGTGAAAATTCCAACTTGGACTTTTCAGTCTGTAAACACTTTCCTTTTATGTCTTCCCAAATCACATCAAGTTTCTGAAGTATAATTATGAATTTATGATTTATGAATTTCAATATCTTTACAACCTAGGTATTATTTAATATATGAATGGATCTCTGTTTTATGGTGATTCTTGTTTCACATACATTTTATTGTGTCAGTAATGTGTTCTAAATGTAAGAAAGTAATGTATTTGGAATATAATATAATATGCTATATAGCTTATAATTTGAATACAAAGGACTTATATTTATCTGGCTCGTGATGTGTTCCAATTTCTGATGTGTTTCTGTCATTCCAGTTGGTCATGTTTAGTCATTTGAGTAGCACTTATTTCCAACAGTAAATTGTATTTCCAGGAACTCAATGTTCATATCTATTAAAAGACAAAATTTAAATGTTCTTCATCTTAAAATTTTATGATGTTGATTATAGATAAATTTCTTCTTCTGTGTTTTGGAAGAAGCTGTGTCTTTGTATGTGGCAATAATTTCAGTGTAGTGCTGGGGATTTAGCTCAGTGGTTCTGCCTCCTGCCTTGCAAGCACAAGGTCCCAAGTTCAATCCTTGGTACCAAAAAGAGAAAAGAATAATTTCGATATAAAACCATTAATGCCTCTACCTTCTTGTGGGAATTTTAGTTCAGGTTGACAGTATGCCAGTATATAACTACAGGTCAAAGATGAATAAAATATAGATTCTCTTTCCCTTTGAGGAATTTAAATAGTATTTTAATAAATAGCACTTACAGGGCTAGGGATTTAGCTCAGTGGTGCTGCTTCCTGCCTTACAAGCACAAGGTCCTGAGTTGGATCCCAGTTACCCTCCCCCCCCAATCTAAGCATTACAGAGACTTTGCTGGTATCATGTTCTACCACTCTTTTCCTTTTTATTTTTTTGGTTGGTTTTTGTACTGGGGATTGAACTCAGGACCTTGCACTTGGGAGGCAGGTACTGTTGTGCCAATTTTGTCTCTCTGTATTCTAGGACTTGAACTTGTTTTATTTTTCCTTTATCTAGTCCTGATTTGTAGATCTAAAGTTTTGAATCTGATCATGAGCTTGTCTTTAATATATATTTATATTTTGTATTCAGGGGCAAGGGTACATTGACATGGCCTCATTGTTTGCACTGTCTTTACTCCATTGTGTTATTATTAAGTAAATTTCAAAAAATATATTTGAAAAATATTGCTGCTTATAGTGTTTTTTATTGAACATTAAACCTTATTACTATTAAATATTAATTTGGTTTTTATCATGTGTATATATATACATATATATATATATACATATATGCGACTAAAATAGGATATATAATAAAATGCAAAGGTATTATCTATGATAGGCTTATGAAGAGGGTTATAAACATTTTTGATGAATAGCTACATTGTAACTGTTTTTAACGTGACATAGATATAATTTGTTAAATGAGCTCGTTTTACATGTACTGTGATGTATGAATCTTTTGTCTAATTTTGATTCAGTAGCTGTTTTATAGAAACAAATGGTCTTTATAGTTATTTGTATGTTTCAGATTGCTAAGAAGCCTCGAACACCAACCTCTGGCCCAGTAATCACGAAGCTGATCTTTGCAAAACCCATTAATAGTAAAGCAGTTACAGGACAGACAACTCAAGTATCACCACCAGTCATTGCAGGTTATATTTCTTTATAGTTCATTAAGCTATATATTTACCTTTTAGGTTTACAGAAGGCTGTTCTGCTCCCTTAAGTTGTTTTAGTGCATGTAAAATAATGTTAGACTAGTTCATAAAAATTGTCATACTTAATAAATGAGTGCTTCAAGGAAAATACTGCATCTCAAAATCAGTCCATTTAGTCTCTAGTTTTGGTAGAATTTTTCCATGTAATTAGTAAATTCTTCATAATTTCATTAATACTAGTTAGTTATACTGAGATAGTATTTACTGTATGCTCTTCTTAGCTTTTTACCTATAAGTGACTCATCAAGCTGCTTGATAGGTCCATGAGGGACTAAAACACCCCTAATTTGCCTGTGTGGTAAGGAGGCACTCTGCTAGTGAGTGGCAGAGCTGGGCTTGGAACTCAAGCAGTTTGTCTCTGGAGCACTTGCACTAGGTCTAATAGGTCTTTAGATTCATGCACGTGGGAGTATGGTATTTCATGGTTTCTGTTTGGATATTTGGTTTCTGTATTTTAATACACTATATGCAGTTCTATAGGAACTCTTGTCACAATGATAGGAATTACTTAAGTGATAGTAGAATATTACTTTTTTTTTTGTAGAATATTTTACTAGCACATTCTTTAATGTGACCTAATTGACTTTTAGTATATACTTTAAAATTTGGCATCACCAGTAACTATACTGTCCCCAAAATCTGGATTTTAGGAGTTCCATTCTCTTTATTCATCAACTTTCCTGCCTTTATACTCCCAATCTAGCAATTTTTTTACTTTGAAATCTTGGATCCATTGATTTGTACACTTCCTTTTTATGACCACCACTTCCTGTACTCAACGTGGATGAGTTCTCTTGCTCTTTGCCTGGCAAGCAGTTATCCAAGCAGTGCAGTTCTTCTAGAGAAAAATCACTCGGTCAATGACTCTAACATTACTCTTTCTCACAAGATTATTTTTTCATTGTGCTAAGGATTTATGTGGAAATATTTCAGAATGCTAGACCTTAGACTGAGATTTTCAAATGCTTAGAGCTGATCCCTGGAATGTATATTCTTGATGAGAGTATTACAGATGGCTAATTATCTGTAACATACATATTTAAGCCATTTACTTAGGGCACTAAGAACCAAAAACAAAACAAAAAAACAAAAACAAAACTGAAGCCACTTGCTGCTGTCTTAATAAATTTACAGACAGCATTTGGCAGCTCTGAAGTCAGTGGCAATCATTAGTCATTTTCCTGAGGTTTGGATTGTATGTGGGAGGCCGAGTGAGATGTTGAGGATGAAGTTAATGGCCCTGGAGGGTTGAATGTTCTTTCTCTTTTGGCCCTCAAGAGAGACTTGTGGGGATGAAAGAGGCAGAGATCTTGAGGGCTGTCACAGGATGGTGGCATGGCTCCAGAGGAAAGGTGAGAGTGTGGATTTGGGGTTGTTCAGGGAGTAGATTGCAGTTGGTGTTAAAGTGAGCAAGAGTTGGAAGTACTGATGGACCAGAGCCAATAATCCCTGGGGAGGTTTTGGAGTAGTAGAGGAAATTACCCCAAAATGATGTCTCAGTGCAAATATTTTTACTGCTTGAGTCTAGAAAGTCCCTGAGAATTTTTAGTTATTGTATGCCAATCAGTTGTGTTTGCAGAGGTGTCTGAATTATTATTTTTGTTTGGTACTTGGGATTGAACCCAGAATCTCGTGCATGTTGGGCTCTCTACTACTGAGCTACATTTTCAGCCCCTGAACGAATTTTGGGTTGTGTCATGAGGTCACCATGACTATCAGGGGTGATTATGGATGGGATATGTGGTCTCTAGGTCTTTCATAATGTGCAGACCATGCCAGAATGCATAAGATAGACTTTTATAAATTTCACAAGAATTGTTAGCATTAAATTCAGTTTGGAGGGATAATATCTCCTTTTAACTATTCTGTAAAGCCTTTTAAACATTGTGTCACACACCAGTCAACCCAGTATGGTTGGATGAGGCAGGAGGATCACAAGCTTGAGTCCAGCATGGCAATTTAGTGAAACTCTGGCTCAAAAATTATAAATTTTAAAAAGGGTTTGTATATATGTGGTTTTTCTAAAATGTAGATCTGATCTTGATACACCTTACTTAACATTTTCTTGGCCTCCATCCATCAGGATTGAGCTCAAATGCCAGTACTTAACTTCAAAGTATTTATGATTTTTTATATACCTTTTTCATTCACCTCCCATCAGGTCCAAAACTGAGCAAACTTATTTTTAAGAGCTCACCAAATGATCATGTTTAGATTTAGGATTTAGGAACTTGGCTTTTCCTTTTACATGGAATGCTTTTCTTTGCTGTGCCTCTTGGCTAATGCAACTATTTTATCTTTTGGATTAGAAAGTTTGGTTCTTAGGTTTAGTCAGGTACTCTATTTTTAACCATTTCCTGTGCATTCCCATAAAACTTGATTTTATCTATCAAATACTTTTCTTTAATTAAACTTTTATTAAATTTTACACTAGCTTTTGACTTGAATAAGTCAAATGAATTAGTCATATTGTATTTTTGTTTTGGGTACCAGGGATTGAACTCAGGACTTTGCACTTGCTGAACTAAATCCCTGGCCCTAGTCACATTGTATTTTAACACAGCTTTTCTTACCTGTCTCCACTACTGCAGTTGTGATTTTCTTTTCTTTTTCCCTTTCCTTTTCTTTTGGCTTTTTGAGATAGGATCTTGCTGTTGCTATGTGGCCCAGGCTGGCCTTGAACTTGTGATCCTTCTGCCTAAGGCTCCTACACATTGGGGTTATAGGCATGAAACCACCATACTTGGCTTTGTGATATCCCCCCCAACCCCTTTGATTTTTGAGGTAGGATCTTGCTATGTATGGCAGTCTTCCTTCCTCAGCCTCCTGAGTGCTGGGATTACAGGTATGTACCACCATGCCCTGCAAAAAATCACAAGTCAAATCATTGTCAGAGACCACCTGTATTTTATTTATTTGTTTCGTTGGTGGTTTTTGTGGTGCTTGGGATTGAACCCAGGATCTTGATCATGCTAAGCCAGTGCTCTACCACTGAGCTTCCCTCCAGTCCCTTGATTTTCCATTCTGTTTTTTGGTACCAGGGATCAAACTCTGGTCCTTGCGCTTGCGAGGCAAGTGGTGGCACCACTGAGCCAAATCCCTGGCCCTCCCCTTGATTTTTCTAGTTTTCTTGACGGTAGTTTTTTAGTTTGCTGTCTAGTTGTGCTTTTGAAATTAACTTTTTAAAACTTGGCATTTAAGAATACAATTCAGTAGCATTAAGTATATTCATATTGTTGTGCAACCATCATCCTATCCATCCTTAGAAGTTTGTTCATCTTGCAAAGGTTATTAAACAGTAATTCCCTATTCCTCCCTCACCCCAGGCCCTGGCAACCACCATTCTACTTTTTAACTCTGTGTGCTTCATACAAGTAAAATCATGTAATATTGGTATTTTTATGACTGGCTTATTTTACTTACCCTAATGTCCTTGAGATCCATATGGTTCATAGCATGTTGTCACAATTTCCTTTTTTTTTTTAAAAAAAAGCAGAATAATAATTACATTTTGTATGTGTATTTATTATATTGATAATAGTTCTTTTATGTTTTGTATACTTTCTAATGTGGTTCAGTGATTATGTATTATTGAATGAAGTCTCTCTAGTAATATGATAGGAGCTATTAGAAGATTTGGATTTTATTCATGGCTCTTCTGTTGATTTTCTCCGTGATCTTAAATAGGTTATTTATTCATTTTCTTTCTGTAAAATGTAAATGCCACCTACCCCTTAAAGAATTTGTCCTTACTTAGATATGATGGCCTCCATTTGAGGCTTTGGAGTGTGTTGCTTTTGATTTTTAGAGAAGGCCCAATGTGGAACATGTGTGGTTTGTAAATTGATTTCAAGGTGAAATCATGTAACTTGAGTATTGTGTGAATCTGTCTGCAGAGTTAAGTATTTGGATATTAGATCATCAGAAATACTCTTTGGAGGAAAACTAAGCAGATTCTTCGGAAAGAATACCTTGAGTTTTTGCCTCGAGTTTTCTTGGGAAAATTGATGAAATCTTCAGATATTTTGGCAGAAATGACTTTCAGTATGATCATCCTCTGCCCATCAAACAGATTTTGTCACTGTGCCGGCATACAGATTTTCAGAAGATACTGCTCTTCTCCCTAAATCAACAGCTTCTTTGTTTTGTTCATACTAAAAATGTATTTAAATTACAAATTGGATTTTTGAAAAATACGAGCAAGGGCTGGGGATTTAGCTCAGTGGTGCCACTGCCTCGCAAGTGCAAGGTCCTGAGTTTGATCCCTGGAACCAAAAAACAAAACAAAAAACAAACAAACAAAATACAAACCAAAAAAGAAATGAAAATTTTACTTTAAATTTTCTTTGCTACTTACAGTGAAATATTTGTTCCTGTTTTAAGTAAATACACATGAAGTGGCTTTTTCCTGGTATTAATTATACTCAGGAACTGAGGGTTTTCTATAAGAACATTTTCTGAAAGATATGTAATACCTGACAAATAAACATGAAATTATAGTGATAAGTATAAACAGTGAGCATTTAATAAAACTGTCTTTTTGGACAATAGTTTCTTAACTGTGTTATTAGGGCTTTATCTTGCAGGCATTAGCTTTGGAAACTAGAATAGACAAACTTGTCACTTTCAGCAGCCTCAACACTGTAGGCTCATTTTCTTAAAATATTTGCTGTAGATTCATTTCATTTACATGGAATTGTCTTCATTTACTTGTGATGTAATTCAGGTTAAAACAGAAACTCAGTAGAACATTCAGCTGGAATTAATATGTCATTAATTATGGGCACTGCAATTTTGAAAATTATATTTAAAATATTTAAAAATTCATAAATGAGGGTAACTTTCATTAACTTTAAATGAGACTATGTATGCTTTGGCCTTGTTATCAGAAAAAAAAGCTCAGAAGTTGCCAAGTGATAGTTCTCTTTTTCTGTCTAAAGAGAAAGTCCTTTCTTTCTTTCACTCTTTCTCATCTGCCTTTCCTTTCTCCATGTGTCTAAGTTTAGTTGAAGTGTCTAAAGGCTGGAGGGGACTTTAGAGATAATATAGTTATTTGCCTTCTCTACTTAGATACATCCCTCTTTAGCCAATGTATTTGGTCGTGTAACCTGCTACACTTGTAATTCACTTGTGTTGAAATAGTCATTTTAATTATAAATTTACAGTTCTTTCTTAGTGCTTAGCTAATGTTTTTCTGTTTCTATACATGTGGTATGATACATATTGGTTCTAATTCTTCAGCTGACAAAATAAATGTCTCCAAATCTTCAAAGCATTAAAATGATTATCTACATGTCCCTTTGCATTCAAAAGAAAGTTCTTCTCTTAATGGTCACTCAAGGATGCAGGCTGATGGATGGAGCCACCATCTCAATGGCAGGGAAACGAGGGTTTTGGGACATCTTACATAGGCAAGAAATGATACCTGAATGTTTACCCAAAGCCCACTGTGCGGAAGTAGTCCTATGACCCTAATTTAGCTACAAGATTGGATGGGGTGTCAGCTAGTTGGTGCCAGGACAGTTTTGCCTTGTGCCCAGTCTGGAGGAGAACTAATACTTAGCAAATGGCAATAATAACCTGCTACATAAATTACCACAGAATTTAGAGCCTTGTTATGTCTTTGTATTCCTTTCTCGCCTAGAATAAAAGTTACTGCTCTTCCTCTTCATTGTAGTATGAGTTCCACTTCTCTAAGCTATCTAGATAACACTATAGGTTTACAGTGTTATTCTTGAGGGACATTGTCCAGGAGGGAACACAGTACGTAATCTGGTGAAGGCAGCTAGCAGAAACTTTTCCCCCATCTTGGCAGCCTGAAATCAGACAGGAAGGATTCAGCTTGACAGTGTTCAAGTTAGTGCATCCAATAATGTTTTTGAGTGTGGGTTGGAATTTTACATTGAGTTAGGTTCAAATAGCAAAACTACTAGAGTATAGTAGAATACAGAGGTTGAAATTTTAAGACTTGGATTCAAGTCCTCCTGACTTTCAGGAGCTGTGTCACACAGGTGCATCGCTTTGTTCTGCTCCTGCTTCCTGATGGCAAGAATGTAACAACACTGATGAGAATATCAGAACTGTTTGTGTAGACTGTATAAACTGATACTAGTACAGAATTACTAAGAAGCGTGGCTTTGTTTCTGCTTCAGTTCACCACAGCTTATTAGGGTCTCAGCTAAATATTTAAAATTCTGTGTTCATGTGTATGAAATAGTAAACATGTGCTGAAGTCTTTGCAGGTGTAGACTGTTGTCACACAGATGTTATACTGTTGTTGTGGGAAGTCAAACTGATGTGCTGCCTCTCATTTGCAGGTAGAGTTCTTTCACAATCTACTCCTGGAACACCATCAAAGACCATAACAATATCTGAAAGTGGTATTATTGGATCAGCTTTAAATTCTACATCCCAGACACCAAATAAAATTGCCATCTCACCTTTGAAATCTCCAAATAAGGTAAAAAAAAAATCAGTTACAAGTATCAGATTTTTGATTGATGTTTTTTTTGTTACTAGTCACTTCAGATTTTTGATTTTCATCTGTTTCCAAGCAAATAGTGGCCACTCAGTGAATACTACATTAATTTAGTAATTAAAGATTTTTGACAGGTAAAAAACTTAAACACATGGTAACATAATAATTTTATATATTAAGATGTTTTCTTTGGCCCATATGAGTGTGGATTCAGTAAAAGTTTTTTGAATGGTATATAGCAAAATTGTTGTCTTTGGGTGAGGCACATATAAAATATAAATTTATAATATATAAATATAAATACAAATATAAAATATTAAAGCAACTTTTAAATAGAGATTTGAGTTTTTGCTGGATAATAAGACCGAGAATACTAGAAATTGCTGTTAGATACTGGCGACTATATTATTGGTGTTATTGAAACTTAAGTACTTTTTGTTCAAAGCATTCAATAGCTTTTCAAAATTTGTTTTCATCTCTAGATGGCAGAGTATTATTTTACTCTCAGGTAAATTATTTTTATTTTACCTCTCACTTTCCTGAAACATACAGATGTCATTGTTCCAGCATATAAAATGGCTTAAGGCATATTTTAAATCACATGATTGAGTTGGAAAGCCAAACATTATTACCCTGTAAGGAGCCAGCCTTTATGACCCTGGAAACACATTGCCCTTTGAACCTGCCTTCTTTCTTGATTTATGGCTGCTTGTAAATAGAATAAACATTTGCCTTACATTTTAAAAAAAGTCCAGCTGCTAATTTCTGCTTTTATGAGATTTTAATTAAATGCATGACTATGATGTTGCTTAGAGTTTATTAAAGTGTGTGTCTACCTGTATAGTGTTTTTTTTTTTTTTCCCTGAAATGGAATGATTTCAGCAGGAGTTGAGTGCTTGCCATCCATAGTTGGATCTTTCTTCAGGAATCTGCAATGGGAAGTGCAGGACCTCTTTTTTTCCCTTCCAGTCCTCTGCTGTTTTTGGTTCCAGTTGGAAGGAAGACTAGAAGAGAAAGGGCAAAATTGTACTCTAACTGTGTCTATGTGGCACATGTCCAAACGTGGATTAGCAGAGATGTGCACACGGGATGACTTTGGGGCCTGTTGGTGAGGTGGTAGACACACTGACCTCCCACAGCTCTTGTCACCTGAGTCCGCTCTGTGCCTGCCCCTGCATTGTGCTTTACCTTGGAAGGCTCATGTTTTGGCTGGGTCCTGCCCAGATGCCTTGTGCTCTTGCAGACCTGCTGGCTAGCAGAACCTAGAGGACTCAGTTCAGACGTGCAGCTTGCCTGACTGCTGTGCCCTGTCCTTTCCTACCACTGTGACAGCGCCACCTGTCTTTGTTCTTGCAGAATTTTCTAGGCTGGGACAGTATCTGTTCACATACTCTGTATTCCCGAGAACACTCACTGTGTTTATTTCTGGTGGCTGCACCCAGATGGCCTTAAGTTTTCTTACTTCTTGGTGATTTGGATGTCACCTGGTGATTTGCGTGTCATTTTCCCCTTAAACTGTCACCCAGTCTGTCCCAGAGGTTTTTTTGGAGAAGCCCTGAGTTTGTTTTCACTGAGATGGGAAGCCCTATAGCGTCACCTGGTGATTTGCGTGTCATTTTCCCCTTAAACTGTCACCCAGTCTGTCCCAGAGGTTTTTTGGAGAAGCCCTGAGTTTGTTTTCACTGAGATGGGAAGCCCTATAGCCCTAGTATTCTCCACATTTATGAGTGCTGTTTCTGACTTTTTTTGTTACCAGGGATTGAACTCAGGATATCACACTTGCCAGACAGGCACTGTGCTGCTGAGCTGAAACCCTGGCCCTCTGACTTTTTTTTTTTAACAGGTAGGAGGTAAGTGATAGGGAGGTCGTCTTTCGTAAATCTGGCGTGGATATCACATCCTTTTTAGATTGTAGAGGAGCTTATTGTTTTCAGCTTTGGGGTTCCACTTCAGCCAAATTTTGAGGTAGTGGAAAAAAAATCCCATACTTACCTCTAGATGCTAGAGGAAGAATGTAGAAGGAATAACTAGTTTGGGCTAAAAACTGTTCAGTTCTTGGTCATGTTTGTAATCAAAATCCCCACTGGTTACCTGGAGGAGGAGCTCACAGGGAAGCCGGTTGGAAGTAGTGAAAAACCATGGGTCTAGATGGAACCACTAGGGAGCATCAGGCTATGTGGAGAGTAAAAGAAAAAACAGGGCTGCACAGCGCAACAGTAAGTGCTAGCAGGAGAAAAGGCTAAGTAGAAGAGAGTGAGTGATTGGAGTGGGTAGTAGGGAAGCCAGGAATATGAAGGCAAGGGTATTTCAGTATTAAATGTCCTAGAAGATCAATTAAGAAAAATCTAAGACTTAAAAGTGAGTTCCATTTATCTTATAAGAGATGTATCCAATTAAATCTTTTTAGGTTGTAAAAATCACAATTTGTAACATTTTGTTTTAGGCAATTGTATTGTTAACACATGAAGTTTTCAATTTATATGCATCTTTTTGTTTCAGAGTAGTATGATAGAATAATTTCAAGTACAAGAATGTTGTAGTATAAAATTTTTAGGAAATACAGAATTCAAATACAAGTTTATGGAGGAAAAAGAAAAATTTCTGACTGTTAACCAGTAGTTTGTGTTTTTAAAAGTATAGTAGGTAACATACTCAGGTATGTCATTGACGTAATTGTATCAGCAGTTGTTTTTCAGTGTTGGGGATCAGATCCAGGTCCTTGTGTGCTTAGCAAGCACAGTACCATTGAGCTAAGTCCCTGCCCCAACCTCTTTATTACAGCAGTTGAATGACTAGGTTGATTTGGTATTATTAAATACACTTTACAAAGTGATTATAGTACTTTTATTTTAAAATTGTACTTCTCAACGGGCCAGAAGTGACCATAGGTTGGAAATTAAAATTGGCTGAGTGGAGCTCCCACTGTGCCCAGTGGTTATCCCATTTTGGTGAGTTGGAAGGGGAGGAAAAGATACATGTATGGGAGGCTTTTATGGACAGACCTGAAATGTACACCGCACTCATTTCCCACTGTGCCCAGTGGTTATCCCATTTTGGTGAGTTGGAAGGGGAGGAAAAGATACATGTATGGGAGGCTTTTATGGACAGACCTGAAATGTACACTCCGCACTCATCCCCTTCCCTAGCTCAAGCTCCAGCTCAATGCATGATTTTACTGAAGGGAGGCTAGGATTTATAATCTGGCTATGTGATTGGGGAGTAGAGAAAGTGGATTTTGTTTAGCAACCAGCAGTCTATAGCATAATCATCCTTACATATACATAAATGTCCTTCTTTTACACAGGTAAGTGGTGTCAGGCAGGGGCCAGGGAGTTTGGGCAGTGATGAAAACTTTCTGTTAGAAAGGTACATTTTTCCATTTTGCACTTACCAGTGGCTACCAAGTGTTTATTCAGTCTGTGTGCCTTGTCAGAGGCTGTGGGACTATAGAAGAGCTTATGCTGGTTGGGCAGACAAAACCAAATGCAAGAAACAGTGAATAATGGAGTGAGTGGTAAGCTGTGTGGTATAGACTAGTGTGAAATGCACAGGAAAGAGGTAAATGGTAATGTTCCTTCATTCACCAGTCACGTGCGTTTTTACAATGTCTGTGCTCTTTTTGGGATGGTAGTAAAGAGCAAAAATGGACATATAGAGCCTAAGTGGGGATGGAGCGCGACAGACTCAAATCATTATACAACATAAAATTTTCAAAGTAAAAAAGACACGCAGGATGTTGTGAGGTTTGAATAAGGGGATGAAGCCCAGTTGGTATGGTTACAGAAGACATCTCTGAACTCAGGCTTTCATAGGTGTACTGTAGACTTAGGAACGGGACAGGAAAGCAGCAGCTATGATTGGAATCGGTGATGCTTTGAAAGGAATGGAGAGAAAATAAATAAGGCCACATTATGGATAGTTTTTAAAACATAGCAAATTTAACCTTAATTTTGTCGTCAAATGGTAACTCTTGAAATGTTTCTAAGACAAGAAGATATAATAAAAACATGAAAGTGAAGTTTGCAAAACATTAACTGTATAGTGTCTGGCAGGTAGATTGAGAACATAGCGGGAGTAGAATGAAAGCTGGTCTTGAGTGTGTTCTCTCGCTGTCCAGGCAGGAGCAGAACTGAGTGATAACAGCACCAGAGTTCCAGGTCAGAACAGATCTGGGAAGTGGTTTCAGAAGCCCATTGGTTTTTTTCTGTGACGCCTTCTTATGATCAAATAGTTGTAGTAGTGAATACGATTTGAAGTGAAAGGGATCTGTCTTCCTGATAAACTGACAGATTGTTGTAAGATTGCTCAGAGTTGGAGTTGAGATGACTGCAGGCTGCAGGCACCCTTGATTCTGATGCTGGAAAGGTGCTAATGGTACCCATTAGCCAAGATAAAGGAGCAGAAGTAAAGAGTGGGATCAGTGTTTCATTATTTATATTATTGATTTTGTTTTATGCTTTTACACATTATGCTGACCTATGGGGTCTTGTTGCCATATTTTAAAAAATTATCATAGAAATTGAAAGTATGGAAGAGATTAGAATAGTATAATTACTCCATGTACCTTTTATCCAACTTTAGATTCATCAACTTATTTTTGTCTCCTTATTTTCTGATTTTAGGTTAAGTAGTTTATCTCTTTGTATTTATGCATGAAAGATAGAGATGCTTTTTTTTAAAGAAAATCCTTAACATTCCTTTAATATCATCAACAACCTAATGTTCCCTGATCATTGCATTTTACAGTTTGAATTGGAATCCAGTTCCATGTCCGTTTCATAAGTTTGTAAGTGGTTGCCATTTCTCTTAATTTCTTCATCTTTTTTTCTCATCATTATCTCATTACCTAGACACAGACAGGCTGTTTATATTTTGTAGTTTCTAAGAGTCTAGAGTTAGTGTTTGCATCTCTGACCTCTCTGTGTTATACTGCTTGGCTTAGAGAGTCCCTGGAACACAGACACTCCCGTACCTTCAGACTT